AGTAGAAGGAATGAATAAGCTACTATTGTACGTATTGAAGCGATTATGCGCACCGGAGATAGGAGAGGACCAGGATCAAGAAACAGCATGGGACACATTGCCCTACTCATGGCCAGATCATTTAGATGACACGATGAATGCTCTCAACTATAGATTGTTACCAGCGCTGAAATTCTCCCCCAAAGAACTCCTCCTAGGTTTAGTAATTAACATGCCAAAGACCAGCATAGAGGAAAGCACTTTGTCAATATGCACATTGGACATACTGATGCAGATCACATACGTCGAACAACAAAGGCTAGACAGCTATGATGAAGTAGTGAGGCATGCGATCAAGAGGAAAGCAGCATTCGATAAGAAACTGCTACAATGAGCACCGGGTGAGGTTATATTTAAAACTGGTCAATTAGTTCAAGTTTATCACAGCGATTTAGATTATACGTTCAAAGCAGAACAAAAACTCATACCAAAATGGTCAGTCCCGTGTTGAGTAAAAGAGAGAATCTTAAACTCCTACAAGCTCAAGACGCTCAAAGGAGCCCCAATCCAAGGAGAGTTCAGTGCAAGACGACTGAGAGTCTTCTTCCCAAGAGAAGGAAAACAGTTAGCAAGGGAGCATAAAGAACATGAGAAAAGAACTAGAGAAGAAGAAAATGAAAACCCAGAAAACGCAGTAGAAAAGGATAGAGGACAAAATGAAGACATAGGCAATGAAGAAAGAGATGACGAAGGAGATAGTGCCGACGAAGAGGAAGATAGTGATGAAGAAGAGAGAGAGTAGAAGAGCAGAGAAAGAAGGTGTCGAGGGCAGCACCTGTTGTTTTTAGGGGAGTGCATGGACCAGGGGTCCCAAGGCATAGACCAGAGGCAGTCCAGCAGCGAGGTTCAGAGCTTAGAGGCGACCATGTGGAGATCTCCATAGCTTAGTCAGCCAGTAGCATAGGCAGCCAGCCTTGTTCATAGCATAGCATTGCAACCTTCACTCACTCCAGAGCTTGTTCTCATTGTCCTAGCCCTAGTACACCATGATCTCTGTTCAGTAGCAGCAGAAACAGGGACTCAAAAATCTTGTGAATGAGATCCCTGGTTTGGCACCTCCACATAACTGAGGTTCTTGCAGTGCCATTGTGCAGTAGGACAATGTATCATGCAAGTAGTCTCTCACTATGACTCCCAGTTGAAGTCCATGGAGGTTGATGATTCACCCCCAGTGACGAGTGTAGTTCACATTATCGGTAGGAGGGTGAGTTGCTCCCATCCCATTGCAGTTTTCCTTCTGAATATTTACCATGTATATGCGCTGCAACAGCATGCCCTCCCATCAATTGAGTATGCCATCCACCTACTATCCCACCTGGTGACTTGTCGAGCCAACTTAATCACAATGCATTGCTACCCTGCTAACCTTGCAAACCAAAATCCTTCTGAAGCAAGCAATGCAAAGCACCATGACGGAGAGCCTGTTACTTTCCAAGTATGTGCGATGGCCATTGGTCTCATCTCACAGCTCTATACCCATAACATAGCATTACAGGGATGAACCTCTAAGCACTAGTTAACGCCCAACACTATCCCTCTCCAATACTAACTTCCACCCACGGCCTTCTCTCCACCTCACATCCTCCAATCACCATTGCCTACCCATCTTTCCATCATTTCTCCCATTGAATGCAGATCAAAAGATGCTTGAGAGAAGCTGATTGTGGACAAGCAGTTGCTTGCGCACGTGTCACTCATGATAAGTCTTCATCAAGAATTGTTCAGGCAGTTGGGTGGCATGGTCCATGCTGGTGAGCATGGATCCAAGGGTCGAGGGAGTCTTTTATGGCCTTCGTATTTGGGGTTTTGTGCCTTTTCCCACAGGACAACTCATGTGGGAAATAATTTTCTAAGTCACCTGACATGCATGAGATTCTTTCTTAGTCATCCTCACAGCCTTTGGAGTAAAACTGGTTACATAAAAAAATAATCAAAAATAATCAAGCCTAGAGGCAAAAGTCAAAAAAAAGGACTATTAATGTGTGCTCTAGTTTATAGGCTTAGGGTGAGAGAAGATTAGTCAGCCATGCACCAAACCAGTTTGGTGCAGGTCACCGGTCTTGGAATTGCTGCATGAGACTGTCCAGAACATTGTTGTAGCTCTGGATCGTGGCATCTGTTTTGCTGATAATGTACTTCCCAAGTCTCATCCCTATGTAAATAAGCAACACTGAGTCCCTGGGATGAAACAGTGGGATTGACTCACAAGCATTCTTCGTCTCAGAGTAATGACTGATAAAATCAGCACACTTGAGCGTCTGCTGTGCTATCTTGCCATATATCATTAGCATGGATTCAATTTTGGTCAATTCCTCCTTTTCCATGATGAAGGCATAGACTTCAGATATTTTCAAAAGTAGACTGGAGACAGCATCATCACAGTCTGCTTGATCAAGAATCATCTGTTAACAAAGTTTCATCAGCCCAGGACAGCGATGATTGAGACAGAAGCCTACCTTGGATGCGCAAGTGAAGATACTCAATGCTACCTTCATGTACAGATGGACCTGCATATGAATGTTAGTTACGTACAGAAGAGAGATATATGGTTGTACATTTGTGATCTCATTGGCAACAGTGTTGAACACCTTCAAGGGTCTAAGCAACACGGAGAATGTGTTGACTGTACCAGAAACAGATTGTAGGTTGTTGGCCACTGAAGAAGTACATTGGATGATTGCTGGGACCTGGCCGATGCCTGCAAGATTTTTGGTAGCATGAGTGATTTTTTCATTCACAATCTTCGGGTCAAGATATTCTCCCTGTGGATAGACGTCAGCACATTGTCAAAAGAGACAAATGAGAATATTTCAAACTTTGTCGGTCGAAGCAACTTCTGCAATTCCTGTGTCAGAAGACTGCTCAACATTCAGTTCAACAGTTGAAGTGGTGAGATCCTGCAGAAAAGCGATTAGTAGTAATCATGGGACACAGGGCACACTCAGAGTTGACATTGCACATACCATAGCTGACTGAACAGGTTGGACGTCCTGTAGACTGGAACTTGCAGCCATGGGTCCAGGGTTGGGAGACTGTTGAGTGCTTTGAGAGAAGCGCTTGGTCATTTTGCTGAACAACTTGGGGACCAACCCACAAGACCCATTCCTCAAAGGCGAAAGAGAGGATGGCTGTAGTCATTAGAATCAATGTATAGTTGTGGAGGATGGCCCTACATCTTGGCTGGCTACCCTCCTGCCTCTCTCTACCAAATGAGGATCTGAACGACTTGGTTTCAACCACCCCCAGCACTTGTTCTGAGGAGGATTGTTTTCATTCATTGAGGGTAGCTGAGTGTGGGTGTTATGAGGTTACTTGGTGCAAATGAAGTGAGGAGCGTGGTGGGGGACACAAAAGATTGATAGGTGCCTCACCTGCTGCACGTTGTCCTGCATGATTTAGGAATCATGCATGGACATGACTACTAGGTATCCCCCTAAAAGACAAAGTCTGATAGCTTAGCCTTCAGGCTAGTCAACCCATGCCTTGGCTTCAAGCCTTGGTCAAACAATTCCAGTTTCCCCATATTTATTTATATTTCTGTACTGTCTTGAAGAAATGTCATGTGTGAGATGGGAATCACATAATGACCTAGTTGATAGTAGGATTAAAAAGAAGGTTAAGGTATTGCCTTGCCTTTGGATTATTCACTTTGGCTAGAGAAAACCATAGAGAAAAGTTCAAAGCCTTACAAAAACCTATCCAAAAGTTCTTGGTTTCTTTTATTCTCATTGTATCATTAGTTCTGTGTTGTTTTCTCTAGTGTTTCCTTTATTTCTTTTTCTATTAGGATGCTTTGACCCACCAGATACCTCACAAAATTGTACCTACAGGGTATGATGTCATAATGATGTCATAAAACTCCACAGATACTCCTGCAGGTATTTGTTGGTAGAAATGATATCATGATGAAGTCATGATGATGTCATCAGTTCTAGAATGTTCCAGGGAAAGTTCTGGAAAGTTCTGCTCCACACTGATGTCATAAATGATGTCATTACTCCACCCATGGAATAATCTGGAATATTCTGCTCCACAGTGATGTCATAAATGATGTCATTACTCCACCCATGGAATAATCTGGAATATTCTGCTCCACAGTGATGTCATAAATGATGTCATTACTCCACCCATGGAATAATCTGGAATATTCTGCTCCACATTCTGATGTCATAGCTCCATCTTTTTACTTACATAATATTCCCACACAAAATGTATATAAGGAGAGCCCATTCTCCCCCAAAAATAAGAAACTTAGTATCTCTCAGAAGCACATATTTTCTCAGAAAGTGAATATAGCCCCTGAAGTTTCTCACTGTACAGATAGCTGCTTGCAAAGTTAGTCCCTTTGAAGTACTGTGCAGGAATCTCCAGAGATAATTGGCCAACCAGCTTTGGTCATTGTGCACGTATATTGCCTAGACGGTTTATCCTAGGCAAAGTTTCACCAGTTATTTGACCAACCAGTCTTTGGTCCACGTATTCGCATATTGAGACCCGCTTCTCACACGTTTGTATTTATTTGACCAACCAGTCTTTTGGTCCACGTTTTCTGTCTAGTCGGACTATCCTAGACAAAGTTTATAGGTTTTATTAAAACACACAAAAGCTCCGGCTAAGTTAATCAATTGATTGGTTTAGCGAGCCTCCCAAGAACTCACATGTTATCTACCACGAAAACTAGAAAAGTCGTAGACCGTGTTAATCGAGGACTGGCAAGAAGTCTTATTCAAGTGTAATTGTGGTGTCATTACATTTTTACACACTTTTATTTAAGACCCTCGATTATTAAGACAACGTCTGCCATGAGGATTACTTAGATAGATTGTCAACATGCCTTTGGAAGCGCCCATTATCGATTGGCCAGAGTAATCACGCATGATGGAACATTCTGAGATAATTATAAGTTGATCAGTCTGCAAAGAACATTAAAAAGTAAGTTGAAGGGTATCTACGTTCAAAAACGACACCAGCAGGATTTGAACCTGCGCACGGAAACCGTAAGAGATATCACGCATTCGAATCTCTCGCCTTAACCACTCGGCCATAGTGCCCTTTTTTCTGGCCAGCTCTGCGTCTTCAGAGCAAGCTTGCATTATATTCAAAAGGATATTTGCAATTGGATGGTCTTGAGCCGAACGTCATAGGGATCTTCCGGTGGTCTGTTTTTTTTTTGCATTAGCGTCCGCGTCAAAATAGCTACATCCTATTGTTCTATTAGCATGCTCGTACAAGAACATTAATGGACCGGTGCGTCTCGACTTCCTGTTCTGGCAATGGTATAATTCACTCCGTTTTTTAAATACACCTCGAGCCTTCCCAGCTGTGACCTGGTGATGACTCCATCATGTCGTTAACATGTACTCTCTCAATCATGTCGCTCCGACCTCCAAAGAACCCTTCCAACCAACTCCTTTCTAAGCCTCTCTACGCTTTCTCCATCACTTCTCCCAATGATAATGTGACCTTCTAAAGCGACGAAACAGGGCTACACGGTAGCTCAGACGAAGAGAAGCGGGTCATTGGGATTACGACTATCATATCCGTTGTCACGCGCCTTGCACCCGAGTTCCATATTGCAGGTCAGGAAGAAGTCACAAAACTTACGATCTCAATGTTATTGCAGCGCTGACGGACTTTGGAGCCGACTCTTGAGGCTGCGATCGGGTATAACCTTGTGGATCTTGCGCTCGTAGCTCCTGAAGAATCGTTTATAGACGTTGCACGTGCGCTTTCGCTAATTAATCGCGCTACGAACCTGGAAGACCCGAGATTCTTTAATTATATGGTATGTATGGAATTATACTTCAATGGTATGCGTGCTGATGGATAGCAGGTGTTGGCCGCGCAGACTATTCTAGCATGTGAACTAGACCAAAGACCCGATTTGTACCACGTATACTTGGTCGAGCCGCTCACTCTCTTCGGAGACAGGCCTTGCTATTCAGAATGTGACCACGTCTGACAAACACGTCAAGGTAAGTTTGCTCACATATTACAATATTGTGCTAAATGTTCGATTCAGTGAAGCACTTCCCACCCATCCAGATTACTCTCTACACCTGGCCGTTTCTCAAGAGCTTACGGGCCTCTTCCGGAACGTGTGTTTTTTCTACGTCCTCTTCCACTTTACATCTGGTGAAGAGAAGGGCTCGATGGCGTGGCTCATGCCTGCGCTGGAAAAATCGCAACGAAGATGCCAATTTTGGTGCTCGAGAATGCTCATGATGCAGCGAGCGAAATCGAGTATAGCACTGTCATCGGGCATGAATATGCGCATTCTGTTAGTACTCTGCGTTGTTTCGAAAGGGAGGACACCCAAAGGTTATTTCGAAGCACCGGTAGTTCCTTACACGCCATATTCCAAATCGCGCAAGCGAGATACGCTAATTGTCCCTGGGACAGGTTGATGATGCAAGACATTGAGAGTATGCGATCTGCTGCTGGTCTCCCATCTTCCCTGGGTCATACTTGACGAATGGCAGCCTGAATAGACAGAGTTATCTTATTGTATGCATGGAATCTATAGCTGACAAGGTCTTCGGATATGATGCGCTGAGCTAAATTGTCAACAGGTTATGCGTGGATGGATGGGAGAGATGAATTCCGAAGCCGTGGAACAGGCACTACCGGCCCATCTATCAGAGGAACTTCACAAGCTGCTTGTGGCCAGCACTTATCGCATATCTCGTGCTTGGGATCTCGCAGCCAAATACTATTCGACCTGATCACGTCGTTTCCTTCTCTCATGCGTGACCCGCCACTGGTGTTTGTAATTCTTGAGTGCCTTATTCTTCTCTGTCATGCATGCGAGAACGAGGACGAGGTGACAGAAATATGATTCCATCAATCGAGTAGCTGACATTCGGGTACAACCCGGTGTACGAATTCCGTTCTGAGTGCACCGGCATCACTCTGCAGCTCACAGATGACTACAAAGTACGAAACGATATCCTTAGACAGCTGCAGCGCAATGCCAACACGTGGTTCGAAGTCGCACTCAGCCGGGCTCCCACTAAGCTTCAGTCCACCCTTCAGGTTCGTCTCGTTATTTTCATTTGCAGCTCTATTTCTTCATGTACTCCGTACAGAAATATCTCGCAGCTACGCAACCGCTGATTGGTGCGGACGCCGCTGAGTTAGGAGCTTCTGTTGCCGAAACGTTTGCTAAGGCACTTGGTCCTGTGCACCGACAACTTCGTAGGTACTCGATTTCAATTGACGTACGAGTTTTCTGATCTTTCTACATCGTAGCTTCTCTGTATAGCATATCAAACTGGAAGTCCGATTGTACACGCGCTCTTGTCAGCCAATTTGCGAACAAATGTTATTTTTACGGGGAGGTTGCTGGTTTGCGACTTGCAGCTCGTAAAAGTAAGTTCGCTCATCTAATAGACGGTCGGATGCCTTGAGGTTTGCAAGATCAAGATTCGCTGGATAAAGCGGCTCCTCAGATGCAGTCCAGCCTTTCAAAGTCAAGATGGCCGATACAATGAGCGACACACACTAAAGCGTGTAGATATTTCTTTTGTATGATCTTTGCTCAATACGATCCCACAGAAGGAACCATTCATGCTACTTTCAAAGTGAAGAAGGAGCGCGTCACTATTGATTCCGACCCGGAGTCTCTTTTGGACGGTGCACGACGTTTAGCTATCTTCAAAGTTGACGACGACTGTCGACAAGATGTGTTGGCTTTACAGATCATCGCGATGTTCAAAAACATCTTCACCAGCATCGAGTTGACCTTCTATCTCTTCCCTTACAGGGTTACCGCAACTGCCGCTGGAGTTAGTACTTTTTTTCATTCACACTGGACCATGCTCATGCAGATCATAGTGTGTGTCATTGACGTGGTGCCAAATGCGACATCTTGAGAAGAGATGGGAAGAGCCACAGTAAACGACCTGCTTGACTTCTTTATCTCGAAGTACGGAGGAGAAGAGACCCTTGCATTCCAGTTCGTTCACAATGGCAATATTCATGATTGATGGAGAAGAGCATATCGCACATATCGGTAAGTTTTACCTGTCTAAGAGTACAACAAGCGGCATTGAAACTTGATCCCAGGTCTGAATTCTTATTCGATATAGATGAGTTCTTCATTTTACGATTGCTGATATACTTACTGACGTCGTTCTTGTCATCTATCTACGTCGCGGAGTAAGTCCCCATCTCGATTCCTTGGGCAGTTCTCTGACTATACTTTCAGAGAGTCAAGTTTGAACCTATCTCCTTCAAGTTAACCCACGAAATGGTAGTTCGCAGAAATTCTCAAGGCTGCGAACTGTTTCAACATCTGATGGTGAAGGTATTTCTCGCTATTCGGCCTCATGCGGATCAACTCGTCAGTACAGTCTAACTCATGCTAGGAACTGGTCTTCCGTCCTTCAAAGGCGAACCGACTATCAAGCGCCTCAAAGACCGGTTTGCGCTTGGTGCTCATGAAAATGTGAGAAGCACAGCCTACAATGAGTCCCGACGGGTGCGTGATTCTTGCTTGCGATCATTCGGGCATCCTTATATGATTTGCTCAGATACAAAAATGGTAAGTCGGACGTACACTCAATGCAATCTCTGTGGGGCCTGAGGCGTTTGCAGGCATACCGTACAAGTAGCAATGCTACTCAAGATTCAATGGACAGTATCGAATTTACATATAGAAATGTATGAAAATTGAACCGCATTTCATGGCCTGGGTGCTAGATAAGCCCGCATCGTGGCTAAACGGCACTGGAGGTCTATATTTAGCGGGCGGACTTAGTGCCGCTCTATATAATCCAGTGGTTTGAGCTTATCGATCGACCATCTATTC